GCCGGGGAGGGAGGGGCCGCCGCCGCCGAGTGAGGGAGCCGGGGGAGGCGGGTTGGAGGCAGGCCGGAGATGGGGCGCGGGCCGGTGCAGCTGCGGCGGATCGAGAACAAGATAAACCGGCAGGTGACCTTCTCCAAGCGCCGCAGCGGGTTGCTGAAGAAGGCGCACGAGATCTCCGTGCTCTGCGACGCCGAGGTCGCGCTCATCGTCTTCTCCACCAAGGGCAAGCTATACGAGTACTCCAGCCAGGACAGGTTATATCACGCGCGCCCAGCTACCCCTCCTTCCTCACCCATTCCGCTCCTTCCTACGAGCTCTATTTGAAGATTTTGGAAACCAGACGATTGATTGGGGCTGCTTTGTATTCACTCCACGAGTAGCTGCCTCGTTCGATAGTTCCGGTGGGGAAATTTGGTTGCGGGAGAGAGTTGCTCGGTGCGTGCGTGCTTATTATTTCGTGCTATTTTTTGTGGGTTCTGCTCGGATGGGTGATCTAGTTCTCCTTGTTTGGATCGTAGAATCGATTGTTGTTCAATTGACCAGTATCTCAGAGTTACTCGTACTCGATTGCCAGTATTAATTAACGTACGTACTGTCTACAGGTTCTACCATGTGATTATGCGTACTCTACTGTACTTAATCGATTACTCTATAAATTGTAGCATCTATTGCGCGAATGGTACTTCAGTAATCCCTTATCCATTTTTAGGACCAATAAAGGTGATTTTTCTGATGAAATCTGTTCCAAAAACTAAGTCCACTTTAAGTGGCATGAAATAGCGGCGAGGAGGACTTGCACATCAGATGTATAAGTTTTCCTAAATGGACTAAAGTTTGCTATTCAATGATGCTGATGCTAATGTTTCACTATCATGTTAATTGCATATATACTAGTAGTAGATATATATGAAACTAGCTGCTTGGTTACTGTAGAAGCAAATTAATAGGAAAGCAAAGCCTACACATATCGGTTCTCATCCCCTCAGCATCTGTCCGTCAGATATTAGCCAGCTATTTTATTACCCAATGGTTTTTGTCAGTTCTAGCTGGCGTGCATGGCCATCAGCTTATTTGACAGATGTTTCGGTTTTTTACAGTATTCTTTATCCATACCAACACTGAGATTATGTCGTTGAAAATTTGATCGTAGTGTTGGATTGTTTTAACAGATTGTGGTCTTCTATCTTAAGGAGTTTGAAGGAGAACAATCGTTACACAAAACCTGAAACTGGCCAATTGAACGTACATGCTTTGTTTGAGATTTTTGGACTTAAACAGTCTAGACATCTTTATATTTTATGAGTTAGGTAAATGTTTGCCCCTCGAAAATGTCCACGGTCGCCCTCCGTTATTTGCCTAAAAAAGATATACATGGCAGGGTAACCCAAATATATAGTTTTCAACGTTTTTACTCAAGGTTGAAAATACCCGCATATACTATTCTAAGGCCTAAACATATAACATTTGTGGTATATCATTTCATAGTTAGACAGACCACAAAATCACTTGTGTGTATAGTGTATACTACCTTTTTTATTTACTGATTACTTGTTCCGCGGGAGTATATGCCGCTTACTTACGAATATCCATTTCGGCTCCCGAGCTCATTTGATCCCGATGAACAGTAAAATCAAAACAAATACTAAAAATTTCAAAAAATATCTGATTTTTTGCGTGGAGGATATTTAGTGTGTGAGGTCCGTGCCAAATTTCAGCGCATTTGGACATCCGAGCAGCTCTCAGAAAAAAAAATTGGTCCCGAATAGTAAACTTTTTCATGGACCCCAACTTTGTTTTTTTTTTCTGAGAGCTGCTCAGATGCCCAAATGAGCTGAAATTTGACAAGGACCTCACGCACTAAAACATCTTCCATGCAAAAAAATTTCCAGAATTTTTTGAATATTTATTTTGATTTTATTGTTCATGTGCGGGAGCAGGTGAACTCGGGAGCCATTTAGTAGCTCTCACTTATTTAAGGTTATAGTTTTGAAGCTAGGGTAGTGCAACCTTCTGGCACGAATGTTAGGCTATACTCGTATGGAGCACTTCATAACTTCTATTCACTTGTTTTTGCATTTCTGAACCGTGCTTTGCACAAATTTTTGCTTAACAATCATTTCAAACTACATTGCTGTTTATTTGTACTAGGGATGCAAAGTGGTGAGCTTGAGGTACCCTCCAACACTCCTTAGTTCATTCATGAACTAATTTTTTCCATTTGAATGAACTAAGGAATAGGAGTGTACCCTAGCTAAAGGCTAACCATTTGCACTCCTTGTACAAAATGGTTGGTCTTAGCTAGCTAGTTGTATGAACAAAGCAATGCCCCACTTTATGTTAATCAAATTTACTAGTGCATAAACAGTCATTCCTAATTGTGCATAGAAAGAGACCCGTGGGCTAGTTTTAATCCACACATTACGTTTAGATTTTTTTTACACAATTGATTACCAGGCTAAATTACTGCTATTGTCATGTTAGCAGCAAACAGTTACCATGATAAAAGTGTATGGCTGCTAGTTAATAATTTATATGTTTTTAGATTAGATATTACGATGTTATGCAGAATTAGAGAGTAATATTCAAGTGCCACCGACAAAAAACAATAGCATATCGTCATAGAAGTATTATCACTGAAGTCTTACATGTATGGAGATGGATGGAGAATAGTGTTCAATAACCTGTAACAAAGTGGCCATAACCTACCAATAACTTAACTAGCAAGTGAGTATTAACCTGGCAACTACTTGTGTGGAAAGAAGTTGTCAAAATATATCAACATGAGATCTACTTGGGAGGTGAATATTTTTTTCCAACATGCGTGTCACCATGACTTCACCAACTGCACAGCTCCACCATAATCATCGTCGTATCCTTGTCAAGGAGTAATTGAGGCCAGCAAGAGCAGGTTGTCCATCAAGTCGTCGTTGCAAGGTTGTCACAATAGCATAGGAGTTCCTGTCTTGGGTGTACTACATGTAGAATCTAACATCTGGTGGAAGATGGCTTCTCTCTGCTTGCTCATCTCCTTCCCTTTAGTGGAATCGTGCGTGGTGGCAGCCAACGCATGTATGTGTTATATCTAGGAGAGCGTGGCGCCACCGCATCCGTGCAAGGTGACCCATGCCGCTAGTTGGTGACGAACGATGCCTCGCTACAATAACACCAGATTCCACGTACGTTGCAAAACTCTTCATCACATGTCGAACTTTGGCCAATCACTACTGGCTTGTTGCATATGTGAAATGGATATCGCACAACGTTAGCGTGTGCGATGTGCCACCATACCGCAAACATGTGGTGTCGAAGAGCCGATTGAGATGTGTTATCTCATAGCAAACGAGCATCGTTATATCACCATGTGCATTGTGGACCTTAGTGCACACACAACTCTACTTAATCGTGTGTTGTGTAGAGCAGATTGAACACACCCTAATTTGCACCGCTTTCAGTATAAAAAGACACATGATTTTCATACATCACATAGCTCACATCAGTTCATCACAACGAACATATAATATAGCTATCATATTTTTAATATCCATATATATCTCTACTATTAATGGGGATTCCGTAATAGTTCTGTTTATTTCGTCTTCTCCTCCTTCCAAAATCACGTCTTGCATTAAATCAACCAAAACAAATCAAATCTTACCAAAACCTTAACTAATCAAAAAAAAATCTTGTCTTCCCCTACCCATACCCATACCCATATCCAAATCAAACCAAATCAAATCTTACTAAACCCCAATTAAATCAAAACTTTCTTGCCTTCCTCTACCCATACTCGAATCAAATGAAATCTTACCAAAATCTAGAACATGATTGGTGTAAGATATATGTCGGACATGATTGGCGTTGAACCACTTGCATATGTATGCCCCATTGGAACGCATGGGCAATTAGCTAGTTCTAGATACCATCTATCATAATAGAGAGTATGTATGCATATTATGTATTGGGTAGTATATATTCGACCCTTTACATGATATGTACCATACTTTTAGCATACTCATTTTACATACCAATATTAATGTATTTTAAAAATATACTAAACACATAGGCTTAGTTGCAATCTTTCGTGTATTTCCTGTTATAGTATCTTAGAAATAGTATATGAAGTTGTGAACATACTCAAGATGATATATATATACACACACACACTACCAGATGGTAGTATATGAGATGATGGTGTAACTACACTCGGTTGTAGGACGTACTTAGGTTTACATCCTGCATAATATATCTGTATCATGAAGTGTAGATTACAACGTAGTAAGGGGAAAATATTAAGTCGCTTCTTTTTGCTTACGCCGTTGTCTTTGCACTTTGGAAGGATGAGGTGCAGACATAGAGTGAGGAATATGTTGGCCCTCCGTAAGCTCCACTACCCTTATCTCTATGCTTCTTTGTCTCTCGCTATAGAGGAAGATACTACAGCTGTGTGTGCACAAAAGCCTAATCAAAATATACACAATAATGAGAACATATAGGTTGACATAAATACAATTTATCGGAATATAAGTGTATAACAAGTTTTAGAGGATTAGATAGTGTCTGAACTAAACAAATAGGTGGGGGAAACGAAACAAAGTCTTACTTGGTCACGTCAATGCTCAGTATGTTGCAAAAGCCATTGCATGAAACAACATATTGTAACCAAATCTCGTTGTATAGTGTAAGTGAAATAAGTGACAACGACAACAACAACAACAACAACAACAACAATAACAACAACAACAACAACAACAACAAAGCCTTTAGTCCCAAACAAGTTGGGGTAGACTAGAGATGAAACCCATAAGATCTCGCGACCAACTCATGGCTCTGGCACATGGATAGCAAGCTTCCACGCACCCCTGTCCATAGCTAGTTCTTTGGTGATACTCCAATCCTTAGGTCTCTCTTAACGGACTCCTCCCATGTCAAATTCGGTCTACCCGCCCTCTCTTGACATTCTCCGTACGCTTTAGCTGTCCGCTATGCACCGGAGGTTCTGGAGGCCTGCGCTGAATATGCCCAAACCATCTTAGAGATGTTGGACAAGCTTCTCCTCAATTGGTGCTACCCCAATTCTATCTCGTATTTCATCATTCCTGACTCGATCCTTCCTCGTGTGGTCACACATCAATCTCAACATACGCATCTCCACCACACCTAACTGTTGAACATTGCCACCTTTTAGTCAGCCAACACTCAGCGCCATACAACATTGCGGGTCGAACCACCGTCTTGTAGAACTTGTCTTTTAGCT